CAACGAACGTCTCACGTGCCCAACAATATTCTCTGTCCGCATACATTCAATTACTCATTACCTTATTGCCGTCACGTTGTGACCGTCTTATATATAAAAGAATACCGAGATCTAGTAAACTCCCGATATTTCAGGAAGGGACGTGAACGTTCGAGAAGCTTGTGGCGTGATACTAGCGTCACGTGACTTCCGATGTCGTAACAGCATGTTATTATATTGAAAACTCACAGTATTTATTCTGTTAATAATTATTTGATTTGATTTGATTTTTTGTTTATTTGTAAATGAACCAAAAGTTACAAAATGGATTATCTGTGGTGGGTAGAGCACAGATAGCCCATTGTATAGCTTTGTGCTTAATTACAAACAAACCATACAAAATGGGCTATCTGTGTTATATATATATATATATACTCAGCAATGGTATCGAAAACCGTTTTAGCTTTTAGGCTTAGCCACTGGGGGCTTTTTAGTTGCTTTTCGATGCTGTTAATCAGTTGATCATTTCAAATAATAATGGTTCTTAAAAACAAATTATGCTTCTACTCGCACATACTTCTGATCATCATATATTTAATGTTTTATTATTATTATTATATACATAATTAACAAGCATGTTCATTCACTTGCGGATACATAGTGTCAGCTATTTTTATCGTTGAAACAGCTTATATGACCTTTGTTTTATGAAATACAACAAATTATAATTTGTTATACAATTGTTATTTTAACAATCATGCATTATGCTAGTACTTTTTAGTAGAAGTGATATATTTTATTTATACAGAGTACGGTTTTCTCAAAAGTTGGATAAATCAGCCTTTCACCATGGAGCCCTTCATCCGGTAATTGAGGTAATTTCAGGATTTCTGTTTATTTTACATTCGTATTAAGTTCCGATCAGAACAAACTGTATACTTACACCAAAAAGAAAAATCAAGGTGGCCACCAGTATATTTAAATAAGTATACTTTTCTTTCGTTCCCACTTATAGTGATCAGAATACATTGTTTCATCAGTTAGGTACCCTCGCTGCTAACGATATTTTCGGTCGTAATTCCAATAACATCTCACAAGGTTCGGTCAGCTTAAATTTAGGTTAGTCCCAAATAACGATGCGAAATAAACTTACATATATTTAGCCAGCGAATGTAAAACAATCTTTATAACAAATATTTAAAAATGAAATTAAACGTGATATATTTAACACCCTAACCAATAATGTTAATGATGTTTTACGAAACTCTGTTTTTCAGTATATAAAAAATACAAAAGCAAATAAGGACTAGATTTTTTATATTAGTGACTGTTATAGCTAAAAATCAAAATTACGAGCAATATTTCATGAATATATGTGCCTCTGAGATCATTAATTTATTTGTACCTGAAATCCTAACAGCAAGTTGGAACACCACACACCAACTCTCGGTTTGTTGACGTACGTGTAATGCTCCATTGAATTAGCAGTAATTCATATACTTAGCAGCTATGGGTCACCCTAGAGCCAGCGAGGGCAGCAGTGCTAACGTATATTGCCTGAATGAAAATTACACTACCTTAAACTAACTTGAGTTGGTTTAGTATTGGCTAGTTGGGGCAGTGACGTTTTCACGAAGTTTTTATGCAGCAGACGTAATTTAGTGTAGCACAGTATAAGTGTTGTCGTTGTATGTTAAAACATAGGTCATAATGTCATGTCCTACTAATGAATAAGTTCGTATTTTTGTCAGTTCACAGTTGTTATTCATGAAAGAAGAAGAATATCACACCAGAAGTAATACAATGGGTATAAAGATATTTTTTTAAAAAACATGAAAAGTACATGGTTTGTCTATTGAGGGTAATCTTGTTAGTGAGATTACAAATCATCTTGTGAAGTTATGTTTCCTTGTAATCCACCTAAGATAAATCTTATATTACCTAAATATGCCCCCAGGAGATCAGCGATAAATTTACTGACTTACAACGCTAAAATCCAGGATTCAATTCCCCGTGGTGAACAGAGTACAGATAGCTCATTGTGTAGCTTTGCATTAAGAAAACAAGAAGCTAAATATAGCAAACGGTCCTTGTTTGTTTGTTTTTAAGCGCAAAGTTATACAACGGGAAATCTGTACTGTGTCCACCACGTGTATCGAACCCCTGATTTTAGGATTGCAAGTTTTTAAACTTACTACCGAGCCACTAGGAGGAATACAAGAAAGAGTTGGTAAGAAACGTTTACTAGTTGTAAATTAAATTAATGTTCTATTTATTTATTTATTTTCTTTGTTAAACCGTTGTAAGATTTCATTTGATATTCACAGTCACTGATGTACGCGCTCTGGATAGGCGAAGGTATATCATCAACGGATTCCATTTTATTGGATAAACCTCAAAAGAAAATTCTCAGAGAACTGATTCACAGCATACGAAAAGGAAGTTTCTCTTTTCTGGATCTACATATTCACACCACTGTCATTATTCTTGCTGTTCTTAAGGTAAGTTATAGTGCTCCAGGGCGACCAATTACCCGAAATATTTTTCATCAGCCCGCATGCCCGGAAGACGATTTGAAAACCCGAAATTTTTCTACCATTTTTGTTTACAGTTATACATACATGTATTGTGTGTTTGAACTTCATGAAACTTTTTTTTTTTGCGCGCGCCTTAAACTTAAAACATCAAAAGCATAAGTGTGCGCTAAAAATTTGCAACTATTTTTTCAACAGATCCAGGAAAAAATATTGTAAAAATTTGGTCACCCTGATGCTCACAAAATGAAAATTATTTTCAAATTCATAAGGTGGAAAACAGATTCTGGTAAGAAAGACAAAGACGATGATTAGAATGAAAAATTGGTCTTTACCAAGTAAAATTCACGGTTTAAACACCGAAACCTAGCGGAGCTTTAGAAACCAGTAGGCCTAATATCTGTGGTAAAAATAAACTGTAGAGTATTTTTCCCCCATATTTACTCTTTGTTGATCAAACACTGTCATTCAACAATCCAGTTATACGAAAAAATAATATAAACCATGGGTCATTTATTTACTTATTAACTTCTTCACCATCATCACAACTGAATCTACAGAATTGGAGAGTTTTCTGATGGCAAAAGACAACCCAAATCTACATAATCTACAGAAATCCTTCCGGCTAAACATTTTCTAATTCGTATAATGACAAATACATACCATTTCAATGTTTTTCTACCGTTAAATCGTATTTCCAGATTGTGTTATTTGTAAACTTGTTTATCTTACTGTTCATTTCACAACAACGTCTATGGTTTGATTGTATACGATAATTTATATATGCTTATTTTAGTCTAACGGTGGGACAGCGATAAGTTTACGTACTTACAACGCTATAATCCGGGGTTCGATTCCCCGCGATGAACACTGTAGATAGTCCAATGTGACTTTACTCTAAATACAAACAAATATTATTCTATTGTTTATCTGTTCTCAACCTTTTCTGAATCTCATGTTCTCAAATATTTCGATTTTACTTCATCTGTATTAAGAAATCCTAATGTACCCTGTTTGTTGTTGATGACGAAATAATTACATATCAAAAACCTTCATTATTAGACTTCTGAAGTTGGATAACATTTTTCGGGGGATTATTTATTAATCACAGTTTCATCGTAGAAACTAATAGCTCAAAGTTTTTTAAATATTTCTTTTATCATAAATCTAACAAATGAGTTGGATAATACAGTAGTGAATACATTTTATTACATAAATCAAGGTACTTAATCAAGAAATTCCATAAATTTTACATACTACAATCCGTGTAAAATCAAAATTGTAACAATATGGCTGTCTGTAAGATTTGTCACAAAAATTTGATTTATTAAAAGTCTCTATATGCCAAAGAACGAATTTACCTGAAAAAAGGAATATGTTGTATGACAGCTTCACAGTTAAATATTTTTGTTACTATTTTCCGCAATTACTTTCCTGTCATTATGGTAATCTTTCAATCAGCAGCATCTAAATAATCAGAGGTTAAATTGGGGCGGAACGGTCCGAAAATTAGCTCCGCCTCTTGGCATTCGTGGCCTTCTGATTGGAATGTCAAAGTGGATCCCCCGTCACACCAAACCTTCTCGCCCTTTAAGCCGTAGGGGCGTTATAATGTCACGGTCAATCCCACTATT